CTAACGTTCTGTGATTCTGTGATTATACATCCACTTGATGTAAGTTCAAAGCTTATTGAAGCTACTGAGACTTTTTCAAAGATCGCTGAGACCATATAACGTCCCCATGCAGAGAGACAGCTTGCGCTGAGGATGTGTGGTACATTGCTTAAACAGGGAAACAAAATCAAGTGAAAGATGTACTTTTTTGCCCAATTTTTTTATAAAATATATAACTTGTCCCATGAAAGATAGACCAAGGGCAATCTCCATTAGCTTGCATTAGCATTTTCCATTCAGCACATCCCTTGAACATACAGGTCACAGGAAAATGAATGTGTGCATGACCTACATCCTTCAAAGATAGGGCAAAGTATTATTTTTGTAGGGACAGCGAGGTCTGTCCTCTGGTTGCCCTCTGAGCGAGTTTATTTTTCACATCCACAGAATCGACGACTGTTTTTGTGCATCTCGGAAACTGGATGCAGTTGCCACTGAAGCGAAGTTCAAGCAGGACCTGGGTTTCCGGATGCTCAACTGTGGCCGAACAGATCTGGTTAAACAAGCCATATCCTTGCTGGGGCCGGATGGAATTAACAGCATGAGTGAACAGGTAACAAGATAGAAATGTAAAGAAGAAACTGTGAAATGTGAGAGTTTTGTCTGCTTATCAAAGAACATGAGCCCCAGCTTTCAGCTAAACATGGACAGGACCTTAGTGCTATTTCTGCATTACTTTGCATTGATTTAAAGCACCTCCAGGTGAACATCTAAGATAGGTTTGGTCTTTTTGAGTTGTATTGATTTGTTGGTTCTGAGGTAACTCAGCATGAGGGTGAATGCATCTTCTGAAATCTGAACTGCAAACTGAGTCAAGTAAAGCCAGGAGGACATCCCAAGAGAGCTTAGCATTGATCTGAATACATAAAACTGCTTTAATGCCATGAACAGTGGTGTAAGGCAGGGCTGTGTGAGGTGAACGTCCTTCCACTGAACAGTGCTCTGGTATCTGCAACACATTTCACATGCACCACCAAAGCCCCAGCAGGAAATGATTAATTGCTGGCACTCTTTAATTGAGTTCAGCTCAGTTTGAACTGACTTTCCAAGTGTGAAAGTATCTCTGCAGTATTACCACTCCATTAGTCATTGTGGCCAACATCCACCAACTGAGAAGCCTAGATTTCCCTGAAGTTACATCTTCACAAGGCAGGTGGTTGTGTCTGGGGATAAACCTGCCTCTGCAGCTGCCTACTGGCAGCAGTCTGTTGGACTTCAACGCTCACCAGGGTTGTTTCACCTTCCCAGAGGGAAATGATGGCCACAGACACTGCCATTTCCTTTTGTACCGGAGTTCCCTGAATTTTCTGGTGCCCCTGATGAAAGTGTCACTGCATCTTCCTAGAGCTGTGGCGTCCCCTTTGGCAGGACACGACGCAGGCGGTTGCAGCCCCTGAGGTGGTCACTTGGGACAGGAGCTGGGTTGTTGGTAGGTTTAGATCTTTTGAGTTGAAAGCTGCTTCAGGAACCCGAGTTATTTTGCTCTTCAGTAGCTCCAGTCTCAGTCAATATTGTGGATTCGTTTGAGAAGAGCTTTAGAAAAGGGCAGTACTCCTTGGAAAAAAATAGTATCAGAGAGCTGATTGCAAGGTTCATATATTGTACTTTTAAAATGTATTATTATTTTAAGTTAGTCTGAACACGGAAGCTTTTCACAGCACATTTCCTCTGTCCTCTAGGCTGAAACCTGGGAGCGCTCTGGCTTGATTCATCAAAGTACCTAACCACATGCTTAACTCCGAACACATGCTTACAGCCTATTTGACTGAAAGTTAAGCCCGTGCTTAAACGCTTTGCTGAATCAGAAATCCCACATCTTGTAGGATCCTACATCCTTGCATTACAGACCCCAAAGCAATACAAGGCTGAAAGAAAGTAATTTTTATTTTGCCAGAAACCAAATGCCCTTTGCGTTGATGGTACACGTTGTTACCACATTCCTGTGCATGTGTCCAACACTAATGATGGGTTTATTAAAAATCCATTCCTCCCATGTGCAAAGAGCTAAGCGATGCTGCAGAGCAAGCCTGGGGGGCTAGCAGAAGTTAAAGCAGCAGGGACAGCTGTGCAAGGGGAGGGGATGTAAGAAACCTAATTCATTCTTTAAAGCCCTGATGCTGCAGCGTGACATTCTGGTGGGCCCCCTGTAGTCAGTGGTTAAGTCCTTCTTCAGCTTCAGCAGGGCCAAAATATCCCGTGTGATCTCCCTTTGCTCCAAGTGTTGCTGTAGGGTTCTTTGCTGTGGCTGCCCAGGTGCTGTGTCTCGCAGCGGGGAGTCCCAGCATGGAGTTTTCAAATTCTTCAGGTCTGATTACACCCCTTGTGCTAAACACTTGGCTTAATTATCAAATGATGCCACTTACACAAATTGAAATAATAGTTGAAGGAATGTGTATGTAATTTTACGCTGCCATCCTGTTTCCCTGTTTCAAGGCGCAAACACAATTTTTTGTAATTCTCGTGGTCCTGTCTGTTCCTGCGGTGTTTATTGACTGCCAAAGGAAGTGTTTTGCCACTGACTGTAGCTGAAGTAGTTTCCAATTCTCTTTGGAAGTAACTTCAAGTCACCCAAGAAGTCCCCTTGCCTGGGGTGAACCTGTTTATTCTTACTAATGGCATGAGGCCCCAAATGCCTATTTCCTTTCTCTGTGTCTCCAGCAGTACGCTGCGGATTTGATTCTGTGAAATGCTCAAGGTGCTTCAAGCGGGCTTTAAGTACCTTGCGGGGACAAACCTTTAGTTAGGTTTTCTCTACAAGGGCAGCCCTTCAATACCTAAGCACCTGCTGCCTTTATCCCTGCTTGCAAACAGGAAAAATGAGGTAGCTCAGCAACAACAGTGGTGCTGGGCCCTTTCTAGGAAGAATGGTGTCGTGGCTCTGTGTCCAGCCACGTCCAGTTCCAGTGTCTCTGAAAATAATTTAATTCATGGCAGCATTCAGGTTAAACAGCAAATGTGCTATCATCTGACAGCAGATTTACCAGGTGGCTTGAGATAGGCTAAAACGTGCTTCACAGGTAGCTGCGTGCTGTGGTAGATTTACAGCGAAACAACTGGTGGCTGTTGATCAACATCCCCTACTGTATTTAATAAGCAGCTTTTTCTGTTATAGTTTGCAGTAGATCTAAAGATTTTTTAATGGTTTCATTTGGACTCATTAGCACAGCCCCAGTAATACTTACCAAGGGAAATGATCAGCCACAGCAGGTATTTCAGGTTCATACAAATTGCATTGTAGTGGTTCTGTAGTGAAGGGTCACTTAATCTACTTTTCCTCCAAGCAAGGCCACGTTTTCCTAGAGCCAGCAACTTGCAACAGTGCTGCCTGACATTTGCTAGGGAGTGCCATACAAAACCTTTACATTTCCAGCCTTTTATGGTATCCATGTTGAAAAAGCTGAGCTCAAATCTGACCTATCTTAAGAGGAGTTTGGGATGTTTTTAAAGGCTCTTTCAGTAATTAAGAAGTTAGATTTTATGAAACTGTTATCATATAAAACTGGATAGAATTATTGTCTTTTTAAAATACTGATGGAAATACAATTGCTTTGATAAAAACACTTTTCTGCTGGGGCCCCAAAGACAAAGATGCTTGGTTTAGTATATGAAGATGGAGGAGAGACTGACAAACCTGGTTTCACTCACCATGTTGAGGATGCCGAGGATAACATGAAAAAAAAGCAGTCAACCCAAGTGACAACAAAAAAGGAGATTTTAGAAAAACCGTTGGCTTTTGCTAGTCTGAGGGGCATGTCTGTAACAGAGGTAATGGCTTTTGTTAAATACATACTGTTAGTCTTGATGATATATACTTAAATAATTGTTAAAAAAAATCAAAGAGAGTTCTGTGTTAAATTTGTCAATTCCTTTGTTTTTTAACTCCAAAAAATGACTAGGGCATGACTCCACTGATGTATGCTTGTGTCAGGGGTGATGAGGCTATGGTGCAGATGCTGCTAGATGCTGGAGCAGATCTGAATGCTGAGGTGAGGACTTTTTGTTGGCTGTATCTTTGTTCTGTTATTTGTTTGCATCTCGAACTATCCCCTGAAACTGTAGCAGAGGAAAAAATGCCAAGAATTAAAAAGAATATAAATTTGTCCTATCCTGGATGGCACCACTTGAAATGAATAGGGAAATCAAACTGCATTAGGTTAACGTTGGGATTCACTGCGCAGAAAGGGTCAAGTCATCGGACTTACCCACAGGTAACATTGATTTGGTGGTGTTTGCACACTGCAAATGAATACAGGCATTAGCTGTGATGATACTGGAAGGACTCCCTGACTCTCAGCTGATTTAAAATGAAGAAGGTAAAAGAAATACCTGTCTGATAACCTGCCAAAGCTCAGGCATTTCCATGCGCTGAGATGTTCCTGCTAAGCATCCCCAGCACAAAAGTGCAATGTAGGTTCCACTGTTTTGTTTCACAAAGTGCCTTGGGCTAAAAACTGTTGGAAGAGGAGCTTGAAGCTTCCAGAATATAAACATCTCTTTGATGAATGCACATCACAACCCTATGCAATCTGTCCACCAAGCAGATTGTGGTCTGACTCTATGCAATGCAGGTATGTACATTTTTAAGGAGCCATTTGAAAATCTCTGAAATAATTATTTGTTAATGATTCCAGTTTCAATTTGTTGCGGTCATGAGTAAATTAAGCTGTCTGCTTCACTTATCTGTGTTCCATCTGTTCTGTTTGAACTTGAGAGAGCTGATAAATTGTAGTCACTGCTTTCAGCCAGACGTTTTGCACTTTTAAAAAAATCTAATTTAAAAGTAGAAATTGATGTCATCCGTAAGTGACTGATAGTTGTTACTATCTGATTGCTGTTCGGTGGCTTATGTGAAATCAGTTGATGATTTCAGTTCCACACTCCCCTCTTCCCTCCCCACATTCGAGCAAACCACCCTCAAGAGCTGGCATAATCGAATACTCGAACCCTTGTTAGCACTCCCAATAGACAGACCAAAGACTGAATGGGCATGGAGACTGATCTCTCCTTTTACCTTGCCTGAAGCTTAGAGGGGAGATGGCATTATTTGGTTCCTAGGAGAAGTTTTCATTAGGAGCAGTCCTCGCCATTGCTCCAGTAATCTTCCAGGCTTGAACCATATGCAAATTTAAACAGTTTTGACTTCCTGAAACTGCTGACATCTCAGAGAACAGCTCCAGTGAGGAATATGAACCTCCCTGGTTCATTTCTGTAGAGTGTTTGCTCTGAAATCAAATGAAAACACTTTGGGACAAGAACTGTGAATAATTACGGTGTGCAATTATAAGATGATTTGTGCACAACCACAACCAACTGTGCAAATTGGGCAATTACGGCAAAAAAAAGACAAATCAACCATGAACAAAAATAAATACTCTGTCAGGTGCTTGCATCATTTTTTTCACTTTGCAAATCAGTTATATATTTATATATAACAGTATCTATCAGTTATATATATTGCTTCCAAAAGTAGCCTCAAATGCTGGCTGCCTCCCTTTTTGATTGCTCATCTTTAGTGAAAATGGACTCATTTCCAGATGTGCTGAGAAGCTGCAATTCACTCTGGAGTCAGTGGGACCTGTAGCTTCTCAGCAAATCTCAACTGAGGCCTTCAAAGCCCTGACAGCTGCAGGACTCTTCCAAACACCACATCAACTGGAAAGAACTTTTAACCATAAGATAAAGGAGCAAAGGAGTTAAAATTACTTCATTTTCTTTGCTGCATGCCGTGGGCTGCCCTGAGCAGCGGTGGGAATCCATGCTGGAGGAGGAGCTGGATGAGTTCACCCTGCCCATCCTCACCCTCCGCTGCTCTTGCTCCCCAGCCTAAACCCTAAGGCTCAGCTGCTCAATCCTCTTCCTTCTGAGCACACCCAGGCCCAAATAAGCCCCTGTGCCTGTGCTCAGATGCCGGCACACTTTGCCTGTTGGCACTTTGAGCTCTTTTTGGTTTTTTGGCAAATCTGGTGCAGATCCACTCCCCTGGCAAGCTGTGGGATCTGCATGGGCCCTTCAGATTTCGCCTTCATCTCTGTCCTTGGGACTGAGGGCCTGGTACTGTGCTTCTTGCAAAACGCTGCATGTGGTGTGTGGAAATGCGAGCTGCTAATACAACTGAGCATTTAATAACTGGCCCTGCTCCCCTACATGGATAAAAGTACTTCAGACAAGGTGGCTAAAACATAGTGGGCTGATGAGACAGAGAGGTGGTGCATCTTTTGCCCTTAGTTTAGTCTTCCTCTGAAGATCAATAATAAGATTTTGAATTTTAGTGTCACACTCCATCTGAGTGTGCCGTCTCCGATTGCAAATGTTCATTAGATTTTACCATCTCTGTGCACTTCATCAATATTAATACCCCCATCTCTGAGGCAGGGAAACTGAAGCAAAGAGTTGTTATTCATCTTTCCCAACGTCTACATTAGAGGCACCAGGCACTAAAGCGTAGAAAATTGAAGGAGCAATGTGAAAAATACCATTTTGTTTTCTAAGGGTATAGTTAACATCTCTTTTGACTGTCGCCACCCTGCTCTTTTAACTTAACTCAGACGGGAGAAGACAGGAAAAAGGAGCTTTCTTGAAATATCTCTAACATGTCACCCTGCCCCATCACTTCCCAGCTGTCTTTTTCCCTCCGCTGTGAGAGGAGGAGCCTAGAAGCACTTCTATGAACTCTAGGGTAGGGCTTGTGATGTGTCTTTCTCGATGGCCATGACAACAGTAATATTGATTTATGTGGAAAGAATTTCTTTGGGTCTGAAGCAATCCCAAGACCCACGGCTGTTAGTCTGGAGAAGTCAGTGGGAGCGGTCCTTAGCTGTAAGCCTCCTGATCTGTCCCTGCCTCCCCAGTGTGTGCTGCTGTAACCAGCTGTGGATAGTTTTGACCTTGTGCACAAGTATCTGGTGGCCAGTGGTTTAGACGGAGCTACAGTAGTTGGTAAAAAGACTTCATTTGGTATGAACTCTATTCAAGCTGTCAAATCAGCATGAACAGTTTTAATATTGAGAAAATTTTTGCAGGAAAAAAATTAGGCCAATCATTTTATAAGGCATCTTTCCCAGGTTTTCTATTTCACTTACTCCCTCACATGCCTGGCTTTCAGGCAGGTTGAATTTTATTACGTATAGCTCTTTAAAAAAATAACTTTAATTTGTTTGTAGGTTGTCAGTACTGCTCATAAATACCCATCCGTCCACCCTGAGACCCGCCATTGGACAGCTCTGACATTTGCTGTGTTGCATGGACATATTCCTGTAGTTCAGGTATTATTGTATTTCCCTACCTGCATCTCATTCTTTTGTTTCTCCTCTTCAGTTCTGATTACATCCATCTCAAACCAGTATCCTCTTCTCATACTCATATTGGTTACTTCTGCTTCTTCTAGAGTGTACTGATATATAATAGACCTATTATATAGCAAATACGGTGTTCAAACCTTAACCAATATGAGGTTTAAATAGGACAATTTTAAAGCAAAGTTGCACCAAAGAAAGTCTGACAACTCCTTGTGCTCCTTCCTGACCACTTGTTTTATATGTTTGTTTATTCATTCATTACACTTTCTTACACTAGAATATTCTAGCAAACGCAAAACCGCTGCCTTGGTGGGGGAGAGGCGGACAACAGCCCCTGTGAGGGAGAAGCACTCGCTCTCCTTACCCCATCGAGGTGGCGCCTGGGATATGCTGGTTCTGTGCTTTGGCATCTCAAAAGTTGAGAAGGTTTATTCTTCGAAACAGCTGTGTCTATGGCACACTGAATGAAAAGCCAAAACTATGAAGGCCTTAAGACAGAATTGGCCAAGAGGGGACAGGAGCACAGGCTCCATCCTGCTCTCCTTGGCCACTTTTGTTTTCAGCGTTCTTCTTATTTATGTGGAAGTGTCCCCGATGGAGATCACAGCTTTTGGACTCATTGCTGCAATTGGTTCTTAAGAACTGCCTTTCTTTTGGCCATGTCTTGATATAAGATGGAGGCAATTGAAGTCTGGTCCATTTTAGGATGGTGCTGGGCTTCTAGAAGACCATGAAGGAAGGATGTTTGTTGGGCTGATTTTCAGTACTTCCATCTTCAGCACATTACTTCCTAGCACTGACCTTTCCCCATTTCCCATTCAGAAACACTGGGTTACACTTTTTTGGCTCTGAAGTTGGACACTAATGCTCCTGGTGTCTGGCAGCATAAAATGAGCGAAAAAAGGAGTCAGTTTGCCTCTGTGAAGCAATGGGCAGAATTTGCATGTCACTTGTCTCCATCGTATCTGATTTGCAGATAGCAAGAAACATTAGACTCTCATTCGTCACTGTTCATGAGCTCTGAAGGCTGTGACACCTCCAGTTGCTCTAAATGGTGAATTTTCTTTCTAGCTGTTGCTGGATGCTGGAGCAAAGGTAGAAGGTTCCTTGGAGCATGGAGAGGAAAATTACTCTGAAACTCCTTTACAGTTGGCAGCAGCTGCTGGTAAGAGCTTTCTCCTCCCACTGTGATAAATTCTTTGGTTGGGATCTGTGGGTTTAGTGAGCAAATGCTGAATTTTAAAAGAAATATCTTGACTTGCAGGAAATTTTGAACTGGTCAGTTTGCTGTTGGAGCGAGGAGCTGACCCCATGATAGGAACAATGTACAGGAACGGCATTTCCATGACTCCACAAGGTGACATGAACTCTTTCAGTCAGGCTGCTGCACATGGACACAGGTAGAGTGGGAACAAGTCTAGTGGCATCCTTCAAGTGCTTATTTTTTGCCTGGGCATCCAGTTTGAGCAGATGGGTGAAAGTTCTGCATGAACAATTGAACAAGAGACCAACTGAGCATAGATGTAAGGCATTTTGCTAGCATGTGGATTTAACCAGTTGGTGGTACAAGCTGCTTTTTGATACCTGATTTAAAAAAAAAGGAAAGAGACTCTTTATGGTGTGTTGCAATGCGATGTTTGTTAAATGGTAGCTGATGTGATGGCAGAAAGGAATGCCAAAGACATTCCTTCTGAATTTCTTGTTGACATATTCCTCAGGTTTGGGGTGGATTGTGTCTGTACTGCTGCAGTCTTAATTGTTATTGAACAGAGTTTCTGCATCTGTGTTTACTGTAAAGTCCCGTGTGCCTTAATGTTGTACGTATGCTGCTAATTCTAAAACAAAAAAAAAGAAGTAGTAATGAAATGAGCACCTGGCATGCATGATCTTGCAACGCTCAGGAGTTGACTGCAGTGTAATGAATTAGTATTATGATCTTCACGTTCCTACTTTTCTGATTGTAGCCATCCAGAGGAACATAGATACAGGTTAGAGACAGTACCTACCGTCTGTTTGCTTAGAGATGAGCTGCCAGTCTAACAACACGCTAACGGCACATCAGGGCAGGTTTGCACAGCGCTGCCCGTCTGGAGCCTGCGAGGGATCCCTGGGACAGAGAGGACAGTTTGGTTACTGGAGTCTCACATTCACTGCTGTGAGTGGGAACCATGTGGCTGAGGAGCACCTGTGTCTCTCCTCAGCTTGGCTGCTGGCTGTGCCTGTCACAGGCCCTGGTTCTTATGTTCCTACCTGTACAGCACACACATACTCCCTCCTCCTTCCCTCTCTGCCCCAGATTTGTGTGGGATACCCTGACACACTATGCCGGGGTCTGAGCAGGTGCAGGGAGGACATCAGAGTACAAGGGAGGTGGAATGGGAGCCAACCTGGTTTCTCTTCTCACAGCTGCAGAAACCCAGAGCGTCTTTGTTGAGATTGATGAGGTTACGCTGGTACGAACCTGATATCACCAAGTCTCTGAGACTGGACTTTGCTATTTGATGGCCCAGCCAGATCAGTGGCTTTGCAGAGTAGTCCCAGATGTGCTCGAACCTGCCCTGACTGGCCTCGTTGAATGTTTAGCTGCTCCAGCTTTCCCAGACTGCTTTGAGTGTTAATTGAGTGGCAGTGCTTTTGGTAGCTCCAGGCGCAGTTCCCTTTTCAAGTGACCTCCATGGGGAAAGTCCTGAGAGCTTGTCCAGAGGCACCTTGGCCTTCCCTGATTGTGGGGAAAAGATTTGAGTCACATTCAGCTCATGGGTCTCTGTTCCCACGAGATGTCACCATTCGTGTGACATCTGTACAGTTCCTGTCACCACAACAGTGTCTCGCCGATGTGTCCCAGGCAGTGCAGGTGGGCTAGCAGGAGCGGTGACTGCCTCAGGTCTGCTCTCAGCTGGTTCTGCCTTTAATTGGAGTAATTTTATGGATAGGTGTCCTAACTAGCCATGTTGCAGCAAGTATCTCAGGCACACCGAAAGCCTAGCCACTCATTCTGCTCTCCCACCCTCTCTTTCCACTGTCATGCTGTGATTGTCAGGAATGTCTTTCGTAAGCTGCTTGCTCAGCCGGAGAAGGAGAAGAGCGATATTCTGTCGCTGGAGGAGATCCTGGCTGAGGGGACGGACTTGCCTGACTCAGCGGCAGGGCCGAGCCAGCCGCAACAGCAAGGCCAAGCTGAAAGCCCTGAAGGAGGCCATGTACCACAGTGCTGAGCATGGCTACGTGGATGTGACCATTGACATACGGAGCGTAGGTCAGTCCTGGCACTCTCTCCTTTCCCTTTAGGGAGGGACCGCTGCTAGAAATGCATCTCTCTTGATGGGCTGTTGCTTAAACTGACCACAGTTGCATCTTCTTCAGCTCCTGTGGATGCAGAAGATGATGGGGGATCTGTCAGGTTCCCAGCCCATTTTGACTCCACAGCGTACCAGCCACTGGCACTTTGCTGCAGGACAGAGTGGTTTCCACCAGCAGCTATCTCCACTGCTGCATGACAGAGTGTTAGCTAAGGCTCTGTGCCAGCGTTCAGTTGCCGTGGGCCACCTCCAACAGCTCCTCATTTGCACTCTGCGGTACAACAGTCCACCATTAAAACATTTATTTACTGAGGTCTGTGAGCCTCCTGAGGGCAGGAGCAGGGAACTGGCTTCTTGGAGTGCCAAATCTGCCAGTGCGTGGCTTGAACATCATATCAGCGGGCTGGGAAGTCACTTCTTCACATGGGGAGAGTGGTTGGGTAGTGCAGAGAGGAATGGGTCTGGGCTGTGTGTTTACGCTCTCCATTGATCTGCATTTAGAGAGAGAGAGACCGAGGTGCTTGGTGTGGCTCTGCCTGGTGCGGTGCTCCAGCCCTGGGGACACATGGCATGGGTTGGAGTGTGCAGTGGTATGAGTGGTGGCTCATCGGGTGGGATGAGCAGGCAAAGATGTACGAGAGGGGAGTGATGGGGCTGCTCTGCAGGCTCTGGACATTTGCTGAAATGGAAGGAAAAGCTTTTGTAGCCAAACGCCAGGCTTGCAGTTCCTCCCACTCCGTTCTGCAAGAGCAGAAACTAGGTCACATCCAGCCTAATGCCTGCAGAGGTACATTAGCTCCATGTGCTTTCTCGCTCAGTGCGGTTCCCTTTAAGTTCCTGGAGAGTGCTTCTGCCACGACAAACTACTTGAAAAGCCTGACTGCTTAATTCACCCAGTGCTGTTTAGGGAAAATAGTAATGATCAGGAGAGGACATGGAGTACTGCTTAAAGAAGGTTTTAATCTGAAGACCACCGGTTTGAATCCAGGTGGGTAGTGACCAAAATCCTTTTTTTTTATTACCATTTAATGGCTCTCCAGGGCACATTCAAACAAATGAGCTAGTGTAAATCTAGTTTCCAAACGGCTTTTGCGTCACAGAGCACCACGGCAATTACCACAAATTGGCAGTCTCAGCAGAGAAGCTGAAGGCTAGATGAGCAGAGAGACCACAGTCTTCTCTTAGCACCTGGAGGAGAGCCTCTGGGCATTAGGTCTGGGATGTCCAGGTAACTACCAGCCTTCTCAACTCGGGATAAATAGGAATTTGATTTTTAGGGTTGCTTGGCAGTTTTTGCTTAAAATCTTAAGACTAACGTAACTAAAAGTAAAACAGCAGAAGGGCATATCCTTCTCCAAAGCTGGGAATGAGCTCTGTCTCTGTCTATAGGTGTTCCCTGGACACTGCACACGTGGTTGGAGTCGTTGCGCACGTCCTTCCAGCAGCACCGACGACCCCTCATCCAGTGCTTGCTAAAGGAGTTCAAGTCCATTCAGGAAGAAGAGTACACGGAGGAGCTCATCACACAAGGGTTGCCTCTGATGTTTGAGATACTGAAAGCCAGCAAGGTAGGATAAATTACACATTCTGAAGGAATCAGCGTCATACCCAGCCCGTAAGACACAAAGCTTGCAATATTTTTTTTGCACAGCTGTTTCAAAGCTTTTTTAGACTGTATAGAATTATTATTATTTGTATTAGATATCTCAGGGTTTTTTTCACTGTGGAAGCATGAGTTAAAAACACACAAGATCCTCACATCTCCTGCTAGAACAGCTTAATCCTGATGCTAACAATAATATGGAGAGACAACAGAAGCTGATGCATAGTGGTAAAATTAAAGTCAAAAGTGTCACTGCAGTACAGCAGGAGATGTTGATAACCAAATTGACCCAAAGAGTAACTGTCCAGCTTGTTTTACAGGATCATACAACAAAGCTAATACTCATGTTTATTTTGGATTTCTTTAACCTCTCACATGACTTTCTCTTCCCTTCATGTGGGATTTGGACTCTTAAATTTGTGGGGAGACTGGTTTCTACAAGCACACAACAGGATAATTTTTTTAATTGTCTTGTGTGGTTGTTTATACTTGCCTCCCCAGATTTGTTCTTTCAGCAGACATTTTCTCAGCCAGACAAATCAGACTAACAAAGCCTTTTGAGGGGAGGTAAATTACTGTTGGGTGTGCAAGTATAATAGCAAAGCGGATGACGATGGGGCAAGCAAGGAGAGGAAAATGTCTTGCCTAGTGAAAGCTGGATACTTCCTTTTATAACTTGTTGTAAGCAACAGCCCCTTCTCTGCTGGTCCCAAGGAATGCCCAGTCAACTTTCCTGTTACCAGAAAATCATCTTAGTGATGAAAAGCTTCAAAAGTATTTGATTATTATTCTTTTACTCATGCCCCACAATACATGTTGCTATGGTCTTCTAATTGTTTAACATTTCTCACCCAACTCTACGTGTTGGAGCAAATAATTTTTGGCACCTGCAGCAATAACCTGAATAATATAAAAAGGGAAGAGGTTATGGTGCTTAATACTAAAAGGTTCCAGGCTTAGTACAGCTAGGGAAAGCCTACATGGATTTATTTCTTGTATCCTGCTTCAAGACAAGGCTTGGACTACAGTCCCAAGCAAATCCTGAATCCATTTGTTCCAGCTATTGTTCCAATTTTTGCTCCCATGAGCCTTCCATTTGGGATTAGTTTGTATTGGATGGGTATTTATGGAGAATATTTGAGATAGCTTTTAGGAAATCATTCCAAATTGTAGTATTTGTAGTATCCGTGTCCTGAACTTGCTTGAGTTAATGTATGTTCATCCAGAAACTGCTAGCAAGGTGCTGTTTGGTTTGAAAGCTGATATTAAACTAATTGTGTTTCCTAAATGGAGATTAGGTTTAGGCCTTGTAATCTAGGATGAGGGATGGCTTTAATTGCTCTTCTCCTGGGTGGCTGAAGCCAGAGCCAAGGAACATCATTAGAATAAGTTACTTACATGGGAACATGGAAGACTGGGTCTTCCCAAGTCTCTCGTAGGAGACACAGAAACAAATAATGCTGCTACCTTATGCTTTGGCTGGAAAACCCTACATGACAAAGAAGTAGTCTGTGCTGATCTTTATTCCTGCCTCTGGGCCTAGGGGAGCTGCCTGTCTTCACTCTTCATAAGCATGCATAGTCACAAACACGCACACATACACTGCTTCATATTCTTAGAAAAATAATGAATCATTGTGAGACTGTAAGGGTTTACAAATTGTCTGCAAATGGCATGAATTATTGCGGCGGTCTTGTCCAAATGGCCTCTCACAAGGCTCTCGCAGACAGAAATGAGGACAGACTCTATGCAACCCTTTGGAAGGAATCAAAATAAATTCATTTGTATGAGAGGGAGCCAATAAAAGTTCTCCCTGGTCACTCTGTAGAAGGCAGCCGAGGAAAGCTGAGATTAAAGGATCTTCTGTTCCCCTTCTCTGGAAGGGCTGAGAGCAGAGACTGGTCTTTATATATACCCCCAGAATGGAAATCTCCTTTAAGAGGTGCAGAAGGGCTGTAACTGTGGTTAACATCCCTCTCTTTCAACAGCAAATTGTCTGTAAAGCCCTGCATTTTGTAGAGCTGTGGGGAGAGGAGTTTGATTTGCCCACATGGATATCCATGACTCTGTGGACTGGGAACTTCGAGGGAGATTACGACTCTTGCTAAACATCACAGTCTGGCCCAGTACATTTCCTTAATGAGTTTTTCAGGGTGAAAAGTATAAAATAGGCAACTAGGAAGCACAGAGCCACTTAGCATTTCTTGTCTGATGTAAAACAAGATGTCCCATTTGCTATATATTGTGATGCTCAGTATATTTTAATTGCATGGCAACTTGCACCTAATAGAGATGGCATTTTGCATTCCTATAAATAGTTCCAACTATCCCATAATCTCAGAACAATTTACAGATATTAATGAGTTGAGACGGGGAAGAAGATCTTAGGCTCCCTTTGCAAACAGAGAAACTGAGGTAATTAAACAGGCAGATTTTCAGCGCCTTGTAGAGCGACAGTCTCAACCTCAGAAGCTGTGGCAACCTGGGTAAGCCAGACAGAAATTTGTAATTTGAATATTTTGGCCAGAGAGACTCTCCAAAAATAGCATAGAAACATAGGACAGGTCTTGGAGCAGGAAGCCTGCCTTCTGCCCCACCTTCCACTTTGCACTGTCGGACAAAATGTTCTTGCAGATTCCCAGGCTGTGCAAAAAGGCCAGATACTAAAAAAGTGGAAAGATCAAAGAAAAAAATAACCAATACCTACAAGAACACCATCAGATATATAGAATCCCTCTCGTCTTACAGATGTTTTTTAAAATGTCTGTTCCTAGAGGATCCAGGTGTGAGGGTTTATGTGGGAGCTCTGCCACCAGCCAGCACTGATGCTGGTGTCCTGTAGGGTGGCAGAGTGGCACTCTGCTCCGTCCTAGTGCTGGGACGCTGACAATAGAAATAAAACTAAAATTTGTGAAAGTCCTGATGCTGGAACACAGAACAGCAACAAAAATTGGCAAATCAGGCAGAACTGCTGAGCTGAAGTCCCTAGTTTTATTGCCTGTCTTCAAGCTGTGAAATAAGCAGGGAAGAACAGTGAATAGATTGCACGTTGGTTGTTCGCTGCTGCACTAAAGCCCTGGAGGAAGACTTCCAAAAGCACAAATGAAGGTTCGATACCCAGCTCCTGGTGGCTTCCAGTGGGACGGAGCGCTTTCATTTCCTTTCATGCCTTTAAATGTCTTTATCAGCTGTGCCGTTGAGAATTGGATGGGGAACAGAGAAGCGGTAGTATTTCCATGCTGGTGAAGCAGAGCTGCAAGAACAAGTGGGGAATTGCTCTGCACTCGCTCCCTGCATGGCTCCTTCTGTCATGCAGTGAGCTTGGGTCACTACCAAACCAAAGACCAGACACTAGGTACTTCAGAGAAAACAGCGTCAATGGAAAGGACACGGAGAGCTCAGTTAAAGGCACTTTCCTAAGAGCAAGCAAAACTCAAATTGGAAAAGCTCTGACCCTAAAAAGATCAATGACATGGTGTGGTGGATTTGGGCCACCAGATGAGGAGGAAAGATGCTGCCATTTTGGGATGGATTGAAGCTCTGCGGCAGACAAGCACAAACACAGCCTGCTAGAAGCAGTTTGGACAGGGCTGCATGAGGCAGCAGCTGGAGGGACACTTCTTGAGGCAAGAAGCTCCAAGCTGAACTTCAGCTGCTGTGCAGAGCAGAGTTGAGTCCCTCAGAGCTAAGATGACACTGGAGATCTTGTTATAGAAGAAGGATAGGAAGCAAAGTCTAGCTGGAGGCCAGTCACA